CCCTACACCCTTGGGTTTCCCTTCCAAACCTTGAAACCCCAAAGTTGGAAACAGCTGGAAGTTTGTTAGAGCTAAGTTCCGCTTCTGAAGGGGCCTGACAAAAATCACTCTGCTGAAACAAGGCATCTTGAAACATGTTGCTTTCTCTATAGCCCTTAGAAGTAATCTGACCACATAACAGGTTTTAATGGACAATCCTGTATTTTCCCCATTTCCCCATCTAGTTTATATTGCATAACAGGCACATTTTTTCCATTTAGAAATACACAAACTGGCCATCAGTTGGTGAAAATCCATACATAGTACAGGAAAAAGGGATCATTTGGAAGTACAGGCTGGGCAGAGAATGGATTGAGAGGAGCCCTGAGGAGAAGGATTGGGGGTGTTGGTTGATGAGAGGCTCAACTTGAGTCAGCAATGCGCGCCCACAGCCCAGAAAGCCAACTGTATCTTGGGCTGCATCAAAAGCATCTTGGCCAGCAGGTCAAGATAGGGAATTCTGCCCACCTACCTGCTCTTGCAAGACCACAAATGGAATATTGTGTCCAGCTCTGAAGCCCTTAATATAAACAGGATGTGGACCTGTTGGAAAGATTCCAGAGAAGGGCCACAAAGATGATCAGAGTGCTGGAGCACCTCTTCTATGAAGACAGGCTGAGACAGTTGGGGTTGTTCACCCTGGAGAAGAGAAGGCTCCAGGAAGACCCTACAGCAGCCTTCCAGGATCTGAAGGGCACCTACAAGAAGGCTGGAGAGGGAATTTTTACAAGGGCACGTAGTGATAGGACAAGGGGTAATGGTTTTAAAGAATTTTTTTAAAGAAACTCTTTACAGTGATGGTGGTGAGGCACTAGAACAAATTGCCCAGGGGAGTTGTGGCTGCCCCATCCCTGGAAGTATTCAAGGCCAGGTTGGATGGGGCTTGGAGCAACCTGATCTAATGGAAGGTGTCCCTGCCCAGGGCAGGGGGAGTGGAACTAGATGATCTTTAAGGTCCTTTCCAACCTAAACCATTTTATGATTCTATGAAGTTTCTTTCAATGTACCCTGACCCAATGTCTGTACCTCTACAAACCAAGAGAACTTAAAGTTTTAGAGACTTAAAACTGGATTATGTCACAGAAGATGTCTCTGATGGCTTTCACTCAATGCCAGCTGGAGAGCCTGTTCTGAAATCAGAACAGGCAGCATATCACAACTGCAGTCTTTTGTTTAGTTGACCATGTCAAAAGAGAACCTATATATATAATCATAGAATGGTTTTGGTTAGAATGGACCTTTAAAGACCATTTGGTTATAGATAATGGATATACTAGACTGACATGTAAGATTTCCAATCCTGTAATAGCGACTTATTTCAGTCAGAGGCTACTTCAACATCTCATCACTTAGAGTGACATTTACTCCTAAAGTAAAGGCCATGAAAGACGCATTAGCATCGTGTCCAACACTGGGATTTATAGGAGATCCCAATGTAAAAAAGAATTTAAGCCAAAGCATTTAACCAAGCTCAATTTTTCCTCTTAGCTGGTAGTTGCCTTTTCCCTTACAGCAGAAGAGATATATAAATTAGCAGCCACTGAAAACTGAACTAGCTATGTACATGTCATGGAAGAATGAATGTAGAACATAGATACTACAATTCTGACCAAGAAAACAAACAAAAGCTTAGACATGCTGAAGCCAGATCAAAGACAGACAGGCAATGGTGCTTTAGAAGCACAGCAGAACACATATTATAACTACTCTGATATTGCAGCAGATTATAGTCTGAAAGCCAGTGACTGTTAGAAAAGCAGGGCATGAGAAATCAAAACTCATGAAAGTGACATAAGTAATAGCAAGCTGTTACAGAAGTTTGTGTTTTTAAAGGGTAACAACAAACTGATGTTTTTGAAGAAATGCCACATTTTTCATTTTGAAGTGATATTTGTTGTCTATTTATAGCTTTTTTGTTTTACAATACCTTAGATCTCAAAATAAAAAGCTAAAATTCAAACACATCATTTCCTTTTTGTTCCAGAAAATTAATTTTAGAAGCATTCATTTAAAAGCTCAGGTGTTCAGTCTTCATCCCAATTTAAACAAGATTTTTGAAAATCCTACATATAATATAATTATCATGGTTAATACTAGCTCTACTTTTAACTGATCACGGCTCGTTGAATTATAAATGCTTTGAAGTCAGATTTCTAAGACCCCACATTTACAGAGTAAAAACAACAAAAGCTTTTTACTTTAATTGTCTTAGATAGAAAAGAATGTTAATGTTTATATTTAAACCACTTTTCATATGTAGTAGAAGTTTCCATACACATCTGAAGTAATATCCCCTTAAAGTCAAAAGTATAGAAAAAGATAGAAAGGCACCCCTGAATGCTTACCACGAGGAACTCGGATTATCTGTCTTGAAATTAGCCACTTGGGACTAATATAACTTACGTGTAACTAATATATATAACTAAGATAACTTAAATCTTAGGCAGATTGACTCAGAAAATGAAAACCTCATATGGCAAGGACAGCAGATACCCTACTGATGTTTGTCTTCTACCAGATGAAGGGGAAATAACTGTCCTCAAGTCAGCAGATAAGTGCTGTGGCTATTCCGGTTATATATCACACACACGCAGAAGAAAATTACCTGATTTTATGACAAACCACTTCCCCCAGAAATCCTGTACAAATCTCCCAGGGCAGGGAGAAAGAAAGGTTGGGGCGGGGGAGGAAGGAGAAGGAAAAAAAAAAAAAAAAAAGAGAGAATTACTAGTTTGAGCCCTTACTTCTTATATCAAAGTGGAGTCAAATCAGACTTACTCTTTACTCCAACATGAGATCTACATCCAAGTTCAACAATGTTGCACCTACAGCTTTATGCCATTTCAATAATTGAGCCCTGAAGCACATCTAGGTGACTTTAGCCAGAGATTTTTGGAGTTCAAGACGTATACCCACCAAAGAAAGGAGAGAGCATTTTGTCTCAAGTCAGAGTAGGATACAATTTCTTAGGTGAAGACACCAATCATCTCTAGCGCTCAGCACAGCTGTTGACTATGGTGCACCCATGACATTTGTAAGAGTGGGGAGTTCACTGCTCCCTCTTATGATGCACCTCCTCTTTTGGAGGTATGTCTTGTCAGCCTTTGTAAGCTTTGGCACCAATGGCCATTTCTAGGACAAACCCCCAAGACAAGTCAGTCAATCTCAGAAGCCAGAGTACAACATTTACCTCTAGTTCCGAAAGAGCTGATACAAGTCATAGGCAAAAGAACAAAATCAGCTCTACACACACCAGTCTTCTACGTGTCAGCCACACAACCCTAGTTTATAGTGCTGGAACACGGAGTGGCAAACTTGAAAAGAGAAGACAACTGGACGGTCTCACTTGCATGCACTGCACACCTGCTCTCAGTTTGCCACAGTACAGCCTGATAGCCTTTGCTGTTCTTTCTTATATTATATTCTATTGGTGGTTATAGTGAGCTTCCCACTGTAATACCACAATGCTTGGAAAACAAAGTACATCAATGCAGCACTCGACATTACATTCAAAAAACAAGCACCACCACGCTCAGGTATTTCTCATTTTCAGAAATGGTTTTGGCATATCAATGATACTTAGGAAACTCAAACATCCTATAAAGCAGAACCAGGCTTACAACAAGTTGGGGAGAGACGTTTAAGCATATAAATCCTACTTAGATGCCTAATTCTTGCTCATTTCCTATAAATACCTTTGTGGATTTGAGCTTTACTATTCTTAACATGAGTTCAATGAGAGATTAGGAGCACTGCAAACTTCAGCTCAGGAGACTTTAAATGTTATCTCCTATTAGCACATAGATAGGTCCCAGCTGTAGTATTTCAAAGTATTCAAAGGACAACTTCAAGAAAAGGCCTTTCTCGCTCAAAGAGATCACATCTCAGACGATTCATACAATATTAGACTGAACAAAAGGAAAAATGTTGAGTCAACCAACTGCAATACAATTTCTGTAGAGCAGCAATTGAAGGATTGTTAGGTGATTTATACATGAGAAAGTGACTTCCCATACTAAAAGAGAAACAAAACATAAGGTACCAAAGAAACAACCTTACCTCAGTTGAGAAAGTGACTTCCCATACTAAAAGAAGAGAAACAAAACATAAGGTGCCAAAGAAACAACCTTACCTCAGCGTGAACTGATCTTCTGTTGAATTTTTAGCAACAGATACAAGGAAAGTCAAAATGTCACCTTGCTTGACAGTCTTTGGTGCGTACTGGATGGCAATATTATTATCCAATCTCATTTCGCTTAAAGAAGGGCCAGCACGTGTCTGGTAAAGGAAGACACTTCCAATCCTCTGCAAGGGAGGTCCCGACTCATCAATGTCATTGCGCCCTGCTCGGATCCCATTGCTTTTCCTTACATCCTCCTTGGTGCATTCCCCTTTCTCATCTCCTGGTTGTATGGCATAGTAAAGCTCCACAGGGCTCCCTTCAGACTGATCCATTGGTTTCTTACGGCCAGCAACAACTGTAGGGGGGTTAAACCAGCTTGGCAGGAGCTCCAGCTCTGCCACACACAACCCCAGGTCGCCTTGCAATCTGCAGCTGCCTCTGACCTCCCGCGTCTCTCGGAAGGCAAACACCCGCAGACAGGGCAGCCGTTCCGTGGTGCTATAGTCATCCCAGTGCCTGCCCACGATGTAGAACAGGACCTGGACTTTGGGCTTGCTTGGGTAAATTTTGTCGCTCATTATGAAGGCCTTAAGTTTCCAATTAAAAGAGAACTTGTCAGTAGATCCAAATGGATTTGAAGACAACATTAAGTCCTGGGGCACTACTTGTTCAATGGAAAAAGGTCCATAGCTGGCATTTAACACAGGTGGCCTCTTGGATTTGTAGATCAGAAAGGATTCCACTCGGGACTGCAAGCTAGAATTCCTCATAATATCCTGGTTGGCTTCCTTAAGAAAGAAGGAAACATCCGCATTGTGGATACGATAGGTCACGGGTAAGTAAGTTGGCAGTAAAGAAAATCTCTGTATACTCTCCAGGATCCCTCGACTCTCAGTCACTGTTGAAAGGAAAGGAGAGTTTAACAGATCAGATCTTCAAGTCATACTGTGATATAACCTCACTGGCTTTACTGAGGGGATTGACAGTGCTGTAGCTGATATTAGTGGCAATAGCAAGCATCATCAATCCATGCAGAAGTAGCCTAGGTAGATGATGATTTATCTAGTTAGCTTGGAAAACAACAGGTTTCCAATAAAGAAAACAATATGTTCTACATGGCAGCTAGATTAAAAGAAGTAGCTTGCATAGGTTTACCCATGCCAAAGGTCACATCTTCACTTGCGATATACATTTATTATCGGAGAACAAAATTACCCTGTCAGCATCTGCAACATAAGATTATTGCACAGGCACATTTAAAAAGGAATTTGATCACCAAAGCAAGCAGCACCTGTACAGGAAATCAATGTAATGATTTTACATCAAATGCTGCACATGGACCACTTAGAGTTCACTTCAACCTTCTTTTCAGCGCTCTCAAGCAATACATGGACTTCAAGTGGTTTCCTGCACAAGGCTGAATTTCACTTTAAGAATAGTTAGCACAATAACCATTTACACAAAAGCTCCTTTACAACACTCCGGTACTAGAGGATTTCAAAAGAAGCTTTATTTGCATCCAATTTATAGTCCCTTCTATTTCACTTTGTCTATGAAAAGAGGGTTTTTTTTCTGTAAATAACTATCAGGATTCATGCCACTGTTGTTACCTAACCCTATATTGTTCCTCAATACAACTGCATTATCTGTAGGCTGCACATCACTGCACATTGAAAGAACATTTTCAATGACACTGAGCCTCTCTTACTGCATGATATCTGTTTTAACTGTGCCATCGAGCAATTACCTGAGGCAGACTATCATATTAAAGAATAAGCTCTCCATCCTTTCTAGGAACTGTCAGTCCCAAAGAGCAAAGACATACACTGTTAAAAAATACAAATGCAAATACAAAATGACCTTTCCTGTTTGAACACCTGACCTTCGTGCTTATGACTTCACACTCTAATTGTGAAATAAATTGCCTTTTTTTTTTCCCCCCATAGCAAATGCAAATCCTTACTTATATACAGGAAAGTGACAAAGGGTTACCACAGACCGCATTCAAAGGCAACCCAGTTTCCCAAGCTCTAGTCAACAAATGCTTTATTAGTCCTTATTTTTTGTTTGGCACCTGACCTAAATATTTATTTGCTCATCAAGTACTGCGTGGCCTAGACTGCTCTCAGTTACTCCTAACCACCAATCCACCATTCATGTACTGCATTTCATTGCAAAACCTAGAACAGGATAGAAGAGGATTGTTATCTTCAAACCCTGTGGGCAGGTTTTGTTAGCTCCTAAAAACCTCTGATTTCAGACGGCAACTGTTCACCAAAATTCAATCTGGAAAACGCCTCTCGCAGCAACAATCATCTTACCTACCTATGGGCTGTATAACCTGAAAGGGGAATTTGCCTTTGCAGGAGAGGAAGCCACACTGGTGCTACGCATAAGCAGCGTGTCAGTCAAGGCACCTCCACAACAAAGCAGTTAATTCAGGAGATCTCACTCTGCCGTAGATTTTGGCCGATCTCAGACAGGTCACTTTTCCTATGCTGCTGTTTTATGTCCAACAAATAAGGGTATTACTATTTATTTCGCCTCACCCTTTGTCTGTGTGGACTTATCTTACAATTTATATAAGAACATCACCTACAATAAAAAGGTTCTGATCTCAGTTAAAGTCTCCAGGCACTAATGTAATGCAAAACAATAAACCGGGAAACTGGAGCAAAGAACTTTCTATATGGAAAAATCAAGACCAGCTGGCTATTTAAAAAAGAAAAAGAAAAAAAAACCAAAACAACACAACAAACAAAGAAAACAACAAACGAAAAACCAAAACACAAACCAACCCTAAAAAAGGGCATCATCCAGCTCTAAGACAGAAGGCACAAATCTCAGAACAAGAGGCCAGGAAGAAAGGATTGCAGAAAAGAGTTTCACAGGTTTGGAAATCTTTCTCTCCATCTTGAAAAACTGAAATTCCTCTCCCAATAAACAATTAAAATAAAACCTTACTTTTAAGAGTTTAATGTCAACTCTTAAATCCCACCTGGAACCAGAGATAAATTCCATCTGAAGACTTGGGAAAATAGCCTCAGCACACATCGTCATATGAGACTGTAAATTGCAATAGCAATAAAAGGCTGAAGCCCCACGATCCCTGGAGGTGGCAAATTCAGCTTAGATCTTGTTTGAATTTAGAGGAAGTCACACCCAAGGCTTTTCTACTTGTTTTTAATCAAAAGTAAACTGCAGAGATTCTTTGCATGCAAAACCAGCCTTTATTTTAGCCTTGGCCTTTTCAGCATTCAGCTCCCACTCTTCAGATATTCATTGAGAGCAGATGAAGTTTTTAGAGACCTTTTTCTAGATAATCCCCCAACAAAGATTTCTAACAACTCTAAATAGCTTTGCTAGTACTTAGAGTTGCAGGGATGCATCTCTCCTATCCAGCCCTAAGGCAAAATCTGTTCTGCTGTTGTACTCCTCAGATCACCCAGCCCATAACATCATTCCTCCATCTAATGTCCCATTTATAAATTCCACACTCATTTTGTACTCCTCCCAACAGCTTGGCAAAGCACCATTAAACACAGTGAGGCATCAAGGAGGCAACTTAGAGAGAGGAAAAAGCTCGGGTATTCAATTTTTTATTTCCCTTATTTTGATTGCAGCTCCCTCACTTGCATTCCACAGGGAGAAGTACATTATTTTTATATTAAAACTAACAGAATGTTTCGCCCCATAATTTTTTAATCATTTATTTTAGTGCTTAATTATCTAAGGGATTAAAAATCTTCCCTCTGAGGAACACCATCCCGTGGAGACCGGGAATATGGGAGTATTCGGGAGACGGAGAGTTTGTAAATCAATGACTTCAGAATAGGAGAGCAACACAAATAAATAAATAAATAAAAACCAGAAGGTGAACTGTCTATTAAAAAAGGAAACAATCTCACCAGATAGAGCAGGGTCCATTGGTTTTTAAATTTTTGGGCAATGGCAAACTGGTCTGTTCGCTGTTGCACTACTGTCTACCATCAAGCTGTGGACGTGCACTGAATATGAATTGGCCTATGCTAGAAGCTGACAGCAGCTTTCCAAACAGCCAAAGGCCAAAAATTCAAACAATTTTACACTTTTATCTGGGGAGAGTTATAATCAGCACAAACAGAAAAAAATTCTCAAAAACTACACTGAGCTCTGCAGTACCATCTGGATTTTGACCGTGAAAGTTTATTAAGGATTCTGAAGGATAGGAAATTAAAAACAAAACCGACCATCAATGTCCTTAATTGCAACCATGACTATTTTTGTAAAAATTATGCATGTTTTCACAAAGGCAGAATTGCAGAAGATTACAATTTTGTGTGTTATTGGGTGAGACCCAGCATAAAAGTGGAGTTTAAAGATTTTCCATATCATCTGCCCTAAGTATTAGGTCAGATCTATACCACCATAATCAAAATTCCACAGGAATAACCCATCTGAATAAAAAAGTCAAGAATCATACAGTGAATCTCTCCATTTAAATATGTCAAACAAAATAAAGGATTGGTAACTGAAGTGCTGTTAAGGAAACAACATCAAGACACGCACAAAAAATATACAGTTAAATTAGGGAACTGCAATTTATCGTTGCTGTACCACTGTATCTGAAGGCTTGCCTACAACATGGGGAACTTGGCAGCAGAATAACCAAGTGCAAGAGCAGAGTACGTTAACCAGCCTTACTCGTTCTCTGTATGGATGCACAGCACAGAGTACATCATCCCGTATGTCAACAGAAAAAGCAGTGGTACCAGATTAAAACAAACTTTGAGGAGTTTAATCCATCCATGTAAGGATAGATTCCTATGATCCATAGACACCTGCTCAACTTTGAATCAGTTAGTTGTGGCAAGCTGTAAGATCAGCTTATCTTAAGCTGAGGCATTGCAGAGGAAAAATCAAATTCTTTCAGAGGACCACAGCAAGTGATGCCTCACGGCACTGCTGAAACTCGAGGGGCTGACCCTCAACTGGAGTGAGCTGCTTCACTGCAAGGTCTGGTGAAGACAATCTACTGCAACTGCAGAGTGGTGTTACAGCATTCTGGATTCAGGAGATGATCCCCAACAGTTTGAAGCAAACCAATAAAATCTAATTTTGATGCTGTGCTTATGCCAGGAGCTATTATTTCTCAATCCCTTACAACTACGTCTGTATTTGACCTCTCATGCTGTGAATGGTTTGTTGAGGATTTCAATCAGTGGCCACCTGGGAAGAGATGCTGTAGTAGGGTGGTTTTCTTTCCTCTCTCTTTAGTGAATTTTCCCCTGACTGACACTGTTTAAAAAAATACTTGTCATTGATGGAAGAAGCAAATTCTTTGCAGGTCAGTGAGTTTGAAAAAATCTGAGAAAAAGGCAGCATATTGAGTGTCTTCCCGCACAGCCAAAGCTTGCGCATATGATATATCCCTGAACATGACATTGTAAACATGCTGCATTTACCTTCCAAAAGGTCATACTGCTTTCTTCGTTAGGCTATTAATTTTGTATGCAGTTTGGCTAAAAATCTTAAATCTTTATTTCTTTAATATTGTGTAACAGCAGCTCTCAGTCAATGACAGAAACACTATTCATAGCTCAGTTTTACTGCAAAGTTATTGACCATGGCTTCAGAAAATTGAAGAAATCTGCCAGACCACTAACTTCATTCTCTATTGCCAGATCCTTGGGACTTCATTGCCGTACCAGCTACCTTATTTTTAAAACTGTTCAATCCACAATCATCCAGCATTCATGAGAAATAAAACACTCTTCCAATCAATTATATAATGCTACTATTAAAAAAAAAAAATTGCCTTTTTCTTGTAGATTGAAGGGAACAACTTCTTAGGAAAATTGCCTTACCAGCTGCAAGCTCAGACTAGTAATGCAATAATGGAGTTTGTTGCTGTATCTA